AACGATTGGAGTGTTATCCTGAGCACTTTGAAAATCCGAAATTGTCAGATTTCTAACCGGCCACTTATCGCCCTGCTCCGTGGGCTGTACCTTTCCATCTATTCTCTTGCTCAGAAGTCGGACGTCAGATCAGACTTTTGAAGTTGAATATTGCCGCGGGGTCAGATGATTTTGCTTCAGTCTTCAAACTCGGGGGGCCTTGCTCTTGATAATGATCTACACGAGTTATTAGGGATACAGTGGGAGCAGGAAACTGTCCCAACCGACTTGTGCCGCTCCGTTATTGCACTGATCTTCAATGTTTGCTGACGCTCGGAACGCGGCGACTACAGACCAATCAGTCATACCTTCATTACATTCAAGTTGATTGCCTCAGCCATCATTTCCAGACTGACACTCGTGAAACTAGATTCATAAAGAGCAGGCCGAGTTTCGTTAGGGTCAGGGCTGCCCTGATCATATTTTCCCTTTTCGTCACATTTTGGAGCACCATTATCGTATCCTCTAAATCAAGGATGCCTTCGATTCGATGGATCGATATACCCTTTGGGCATGTCTACCCACGGAAGGTGTGCCCGAGAAATATGTAAATATTATCCGAACGCTTTATTTGCCTACCTCTGGCAAAGTCCTCAACAATATTGTACATGTTAGCTAGTGGTGGGAAGCGCCTCAGATACTGTGCCGCAATAAATAAGGAAAAAAGGGGAAGATGCAAGCCAGCTGAGCTGCATCGCTTCAAAAAGCTACAGCCAGCAACTAAACAGCAAAAAATTACTATGACAGATTATTTAAGGTTAAGCAATGAGGTCGTGCTTCGAAGCAGAGGCAAAAACGGGATAAGGTGGGACAAAGAAACTCACAACACGAACGCCACTGAGTTCGGCTCCTAGCCATATCAGCAAGTCTATCCAGCCAAACGTGTCCATCGTCTTTCGAACCACAAAAAAGAAGTCGTGACGCTTCAAATGAGGCCAGCTCCGAGGTAAGAGACATCATTTCCTCAACCAAATCATCGCTTGACAACCCTCCTACCATCCACACCCCCGGCGCGAAAACAACGCACGTCGCGGGAGTCGGTGGGTTGGCAAGCGTAACACGCGGCCAAGTCATCGGAAGCTAGTGTGTGAAATAACGGTGCTGAGCGGTTCATTTCCTTTTCCTGTGCCCTAAACAAGGCGTCGAACACGCTCATTGCTCACACGGTGTTCCCACCAGATGTGAGCCAAAATACGAAGACACAAGTGGTCGAACGTAACTAGCATCTTTACGTCCGCTCATCTAAGGGGCCTGGTTTCACAACCGTACTGTAAGGTCGAACGTACCGCTGCATTGTACACTCTACCCTTCAGTGCGAGTGATGCCGCGCCGCTGCCATAGGCAGCGAAGACGAGGAAAAACGCCTCGAGCTTTTGCTACACGGTTCGTGATCTCATCTTCGATCACAAGGGCGGTGATACAACTTCCTAGGTAGTTGAATTTTTGAAGGACTTCTAGCTGATCCTCACCAAGGGTCAGCGCAGGAGACGATCCCTGCAAATCTTGGAGGAATGCTTTGCACTTCGAAGGTGCAAAGCAAAGCCCGAAGTGACCGAAAACCAGTGTTAATCTGTCCACTGTAGCTTGGCACATTTGTGTGCTGTCACAGATGAGGGCAATATCGTCAGCATACTTCAAGTCAAGAATTTGTTCTCCTGGGGGTAGCTCCACACATTCTAAGTCGTGTACTGTAAATGCAATCTCCGTGACTCTGTCAATAGCGAAATTGAAGAGGAAAGGTGACAACGGACATCCTTGTCTCACACTGCTGGAGATATTGAATGGCGATGACAGCTTGCCATAAGCCCTCACTCTGTCCGTGCTACGCGCGTATAATGCTCGGACAATAGTCACATATTTCTCGGGCACACCTTTCATGACTAGATAGTCCCAAAAGGGCACATCTATCCACCGAATCGAAGGCACCTTTGATGTCGAGGAACACGACTACGGTGAGCAGCTGATATATGTGACGGTGCTCCGGCAATTGCCGCAAAGTGAAGATGTGGTCAATGCAGCCACGACCTCGACGAAACTCGGCTTGCTCTTCACGAATCTGGCTTTCACGCGTGACAGTCAGTCTGTGAAGGATGGCATAGGCAATTAATTTTGTGGCGACGAACATCAGACTGATTCCTCTGTGATTTCCGCATCCCGAACGTGAGCCTCCCTTAAAAATTGGGACAATGACTGAGCGGCTCCAGTCGGTTGGGACACCTTCCTGCTCCCACAGTTTCACCAGTAATTCGTGTAAATCATCAACAAGAGCAAGTCCCTGAATTTGAAAATGCTTGGAAATTGTTCGTCTCTTTGTTTGTAGCACTGTAAAAGAAATTGAACCGCGCATCACCATTATATCACATACCAAGGGTCTGATTGCTGGTCCATGTGTTGCGCATGCCAGCCTGCCGACTCCGGCGACGTGCGTTGTTTGCGCACAGGCGATGCGTATAGATGAAGAGGAGGAGTGTCCAAGCGACGACTTTTTCAAGAGAAATGTAGGTCCTTTGTTCGAAGCTGGTCGCGGTTCGAGTCCGAACTACGATATACACGTTAGGCTGGAGGTACTTGTTGACATGGCTAGGAGTCGACCTCAGTGACGCCTATGTTTTAGGTTTCTTTGTCCCTGCAACCGCTCAACCTCCGTCTCTAATCACGATCTCATTTTCTGGGGATATTATAGCTCTGCGACAATATAGCCGACTGTTAGCTCTCCGGAACAATATCTATCCGTTACTGGCAGTTCATCTGGCTTTCCTTTGTTGTGTGTTTTTCTTGTATATTGCGTTACAAGTGATGGTGTTTCTTACGATTTTCATGTTCTTTCGATATCTATGATGCTGATGAGGATGAATGTGATCACAACTTATACACAGTTTTTTTTCCACCCAGCTTGACTCTCATTATGCTACCACCACAGTAGCGCGCTGGACGGCCGTTTTGCCTCGCTAAGATTCGTCGGCATCATTTTCCCACTTTCATTCCATTTGCGGACAAACATGACGTCATCGGTACCGTGACTACACCATGGTGATAGGGTATACATCACCCTGTACAGTCATGCACTTGGCGGTAATGCAAAGGGCACCTTCGTCCCGCAGCATCCATTGCTCCCGTCGACCTGATTTCTTTCTCTTGTGCCTTTTTAAGCCTCACGGACTTTAATCACTGCTGTGTGTCATGTATTTCTCTGTAAATTAAGCAGACTGGATTGCCATCACAGAGTCGTTTATTAAGATTGCGCATGGATATTTTTAGAGTATGTACACTATTTGCGAGAGTGCGCTCCATTGGCTCACCTTTGCTACTTACATTATACCGCTGGCTTGATTTCCGTTAGTTCGCAACGCTCATCCTAAAATTACCTGGACCTGCGTTGCTGACATTCTGAGTTGATTGTCCGATTAGCTCGGCTGATCACACACTTCTTCCCTTGATCCGGTGCAACAACAAATTTTGACTCAAGTGCGTACAGTCTATTTTTGGGCTCGAAAAAACAATCCGCTTCTCACGGGCGCACGCTTTTTCGCCAGACTTAATTGGTCCTGTGCATTTATGGTCTGCTAGGGCCTGATTGGTCACCTGCACACTCATTAGATGTTTGTCCAGTTGGCTAACTGTCCCCGCAGAGCTCGACGTAGCCGTGCGCCGACCATTCGATGCTCCGCTGACCAATCCTCTTCTGATGACATGCTCCCCTTCCTTCTGGCTAAGTCGCATCTGTGCGTTACTTCGCAAAATACTGCGTGGCGTTCGATTGGCCATCTGCCTCCCAGTACCATAGCGTTTCCGTCCACCATCACACTATGTACTAAAAAAAATTCGGCCCAGACAATTTCCACTCCGCATTGGATGGTCTACGGTGGCGTGACCATCAGCTGTATTACGCATACCTATATGTACCACCTAATGAACCAACGTTCGCTAAGTTTGGAGCTCTGCGGCTTGTCAACCAATTCTTGCAGCAGTACCTTTCATTTTGGAGTTTCGGAGTTCCTGCTAAGACTCAGGCTACGCATCATAAACCCTTGCAGCAGAACTTGTTCAACGCCGTATTCCTATCCCAATAAGGTTCATGTTGTGTACACACGCTGAATTCACGGGTTTCTTAGCTGGTAACACCGGTGCTTCGGAGGAACAAGAGAACAAAACGGTTATTCTCGATCGCTTAGTCTGGGGGAAAAGCTGGATGCGACATCGTTAGGACACCGTAAGTGGTGCTGTCGGTAAACAGCTTCCTTATAAAATTAGTAAAGTTCTTCAGGAGCGGACTTGAATATCTCCAATCTTCGGTACAAACTTTGGTTACATCATGAGCAGTCGGTACTACCTGCGTCAAACGTAGCTAAAGATGAGTATGAAGGCTCAGCGCATAAACTATTCCATTAATCTCAGAAGTTCGTACGTCATACCTTACCTCGTTTTATTATCATATGATTCATCAATTACGTGTGGTAATTAGTAAAGCGTAGGGAAATATTCAAAGCTTGCAATGAATGATCGGGCAGAAATCACATCGTATTGTGCTATTTGATTATCAAACCTACAGGTTGCGGTGGACAGGATACCTGTGTACAGATTCGGGATCGTTTAATGGTTTCACATCGCAATGAGGCTGGACCTTACCGTGGTGCGATTGTTTGCTTGCCTCGGAGATCCATTGAGCTATCCTAAGTGGTACACTTTTGCACCTTCAGAGCCACTCACATCAGACTGGTCAATCGTTAGAGGCCAGACAAATTCAGCCTCCTGGTACTCCATTTTGGGGTTGGAATGAGGGTGGCTCCTTATTCCTTACAACTGACTTCTTATAGCCCAACGTCAAACCCACTGTTTTGTGGTCAGGTTTTTGAACCAAAGGCTTTGGTTGAAAACCCTAATCGTTCTCCTGTCTAGGTCTGGGAAACCTGACAGTATCCTGCCCACGCAATATTATGAATTTTTCGTCAAACAATTTCCTGATGCTCTGGCCATCGCAGAGTATAATCAACGGTGCCCTATCTGCTGCATCGAGCAGGTTGGATAGGGATTTGGAAGCTGCTGCTCAAGCCTTCCCATCTTCCTATTCACCCTTATGGCCCCGTTCCGACCACTTTTATCCCCCATTTTCAATCCCCCAATTGTTGACCCTCCCCTACCTTGCTTTGATAGGCTTTTACCTCTTAATTTCAACTCACATGCGAACGCAGAGCGTCACTCCTCTCCTGTCGACAAACCCATGTCCAACCAAGCGGTCCACCCCAGTTCATCGGCTTCCATGTGGAGCCCTCGATCTCCCTTCAGATTAGCATGTCTCAATGTACGCACATTGCTTCAAATTGGTTAACAGGCTGCATTTGCCCGAACTTTAGAGACCTTCTTGATTGATAGCTGTTGCTTATCGGAGGCCCACCTGCAAGACTCGAGCTCTGTGCTCACTGCCTTCCCCTTCAGGTGACACCAGCAGTATTTTCTCATTCCGCATGCCCGGTGACGATGCAGCTTTGAGCACCGGCCAAGCCGGTGTTGGTATTGCCCTGAGTCCCCCGGCTGAAGCTGCTCTGGTTGATTGGATTCCACTCAGTAGCCGGATGTGTGCGGTCCGATTGGCTGGCTCGTTTAAAGCTTCGAAGTCGCGCGGGACTAATAGGTGTCTATTCATCATCGCTGCCTACGCTCCCACAAACTGTAGTGGTGATTCGGTAAAGAACGACTTCTACCGCCAACTGACTCAGCTCCTTCGCCACAGAAGATGCACGGACACTGTTGTGCTGGCGGGGGATATGAACGCACAAGTTGGAAAGTTTCCCACTGATGAACTGCATCTGCGCGGTCAACATGGTGTAGGCTCCCATAGTGATAACGGTGAGCGAATACTTTGTTTGTGTGAAGATACTGGCTTATTTCTTATGAGCACTAACTTCTGACACAGCACCCGCCGGAGGGTGACATGGCGCCCACCAGCCTCGAACCAGCTTTGGACGCAAATCGATCACATTGCAATCAGTTACCGATGTCGCTCGATTTGGAGCACTGTGGACACTGACCATGCTCTTGTATGTGCTGACCTGCAGATGCGTTTTGACGGATGCCCACGACGACGCTGGGAGCGAATTGACACTAGCCAACTGACAAAGCCAGCTGTTCTGAATGCGTATCGAAGTACGCTGACATGCGAGTTGAGTAAGCGCTCACTGGAGACAATTGATGGTCACTGGTCACATGTTCACCAGACCTTACTAGCAGCAGGCAAATCCTCATGTGGTGCTTAAATAGCCAAAATGGATATCAGGTCTCTTCGCGGTCTCTGGAACTTTTCGAAGCTCGCTGGCATATCCCGGCTGGAAGCGAACACAATAAAACTCGAAAAGAGCTCCGGGCAAGACTCCGTGCTAGCCTGAAGAGAGACCGTGAATCTTGGTGGTCTCTTCATGCGTCAGAGGTGGAAGTGGCCGCTGCCCTTGGTAATCATCGTAAGTTATTCCGTCTGATACGGGAAACAGGCAGCAGGAGACCTGGTGTTAATGAAACAATTTGTGACGAGACTGGACAGCCTATCTACAATTTGTCAAAACGCTTGGAGCGTTGGGTTGAGCACTTTGAAAGGCAATTTAATCGGTCGGAATTGTCAGATTGCTCGCTGGCGACTGATCGCTCTGCTCCCTGGACTGTCCCTTTGGATGCCCTTTCGTTCATAAGTCGAACGTCACATCGGACTGTTGAAGTTAAGTAAAGCTGCGGGACCAGATAACCTTTCTTTAACCCTCTTCAAATTCGGGGCCTTGCTCTTGTTGATGATTTGCACGAATTACTGGTGAAACTGTGGGAGCAGGAAGGTGTCCTAACCGACTGGAGCCGCTCAGTCATTGTCCCAATTTTTAAGGGAGGCTCACGTTCGGGATGCGGAAATCACAGAGGAATCAGTCTGATGTTCGTCGCCACAAAATTAATTGCCTATGCCATCCTTCACAGACTGACTGTCACGCGTGAAAGCCAGATTCGTGAAGAGCAAGCCGAGTTTCGTCGAGGTCGTGGCTGCATTGACCACATCTTCACTTTGCGGCAATTGCCGGAGCACCGTCACATATATCAGCTGCTCACCGTAGTCGTGTTCCTCGACATCAAAGGTGCCTTCGATTCGGTGGATAGATGTGCCCTTTTGGGACTATCTAGTCATGAAAGGTGTGCCCGAGAAATATGTGACTATTGTCCGAGCATTATACGCGCGTAGCACGGACAGAGTGAGGGCTTATGGCAAGCTGTCATCGCCATTCAATATCTCCAGCAGTGTGAGACAAGGATGTCCGTTGTCACCTTTCCTCTTCAATTTCGCTATTGACAGAGTCACGGAGATTGCATTTACAGTACACGACTTAGAATGTGTGGAGCTACCCCCAGGAGAACAAATTCTTGACTTGAAGTATGCTGACGATATTGCCCTCATCTGTGACAGCACACAAATGTGCCAAGCTACAGTGGACAGATTAACACTGGTTTTCGGTCACTTCGGGCTTTGCTTTGCACCTTCGAAGTGCAAAGCATTCCTCCAAGATTTGCAGGGATCGTCTCCTGCGCTGACCCTTGGTGAGGATCAGCTAGAAGTCCTTCAAAAATTCAACTACCTAGGAAGTTGTATCACCGCCCTTGTGATCGAAGATGAGATCACGAACCGTGTAGCAAAAGCTCGAGGCGTTTTTCCTCGTCTTCGCTGCCTATGGCAGCGGCGCGGCATCACTCGCACTGAAGGGTAGAGTGTACAATGCAGCGGTACGTTCGACCTTACAGTACGGTTGTGAAACCAGGCCCCTTAGATGAGCGGACGTAAAGATGCTAGTTACGTTCGACCACTTGTGTCTTCGTATTTTGGCTCACATCTGGTGGGAACACCGTGTGAGCAATGAGCGTGTTCGACGCCTTGTTTAGGGCACAGGAAAAGGAAATGAACCGCTCAGCACCGTTATTTCACACACTAGCTTCCGATGACTTGGCCGCGTGTTACGCTTGCCAACCCACCGACTCCCGCGACGTGCGTTGTTTTCGCGCCGGGGGTGTGGATGGTAGGAGGGTTGTCAAGCGATGATTTGGTTGAGGAAATGATGTCTCTTACCTCGGAGCTGGCCTCATTTGAAGCGTCACGACTTCTTTTTTGTGGTTCGAAAGACGATGGACACGTTTGGCTGGATAGACTTGCTGATATGGCTAGGAGCCGAACTCAGTGGCGTTCGTGTTGTGAGTTTCTTTGTCCCACCTTATCCCGTTTTTGCCTCTGCTTCGAAGCACGACCTCATTGCTTAACCTTAAATAATTTGTCATAGTAAATTTTTGCTATTTATTTCCTGACTGGTAACGTTCCGGAACGATTCGCATCCATTGCTGGTAACTCAGCTGGCATGCAACTGTTGCATTGATTTTCTCGTTTCTTTTCTATATTGGGACATGGTTGCTGAGATGCTTTGCACCTTAATTTTCGTGTTTAAATAATAATTTTATCAATATTTTGACGCTTTTGCTACCCGTGCGATTTTTTTCCATTTATTCACTAGCAGTTTAACTGCTCTTTTAGTCCATCCTCGGTGACTATTGTAAGTTGCTGAAAATGAACCCTTTTGGTAATATAAATTTTATTTATGGATATATATGTTTATTTATTTAACATTTATCCACAAGTATGGGAACAGACAATTGGGCCATTTAGACCATGGCTGTCCTGGGGTGAAAAAGTTTTACACCCAACAAAGGATGACGGCAGGTTTTACTAGTCTTTTATTCGCAAAGTTTTGGTATTAGTTATTTAAATGAAAGAAGTTGTTAGAATAGCACTGACGGCCCTGATTTTCATTGCGTTTTGTAGCCTCCAAAACCTGTAACCATTTTGAGTCCCTATCCCGGCATAGCAGACGGTCAGATCTTGCTGATGCTAAACATGAGTCGAGATCTCGCAGCTGCCCACGGACGGTGGCACTTCGCTCTGCCTTCGTGCCTCATACTTATGTCTCGCTGGCACCACATATATCTCAAGTTAGTGGATTTCATATGGGTTTTAACCATTCGCTGAGGTAGTTTATCTCCAACATCACCACTCACCGTGAATCAACTCTCGAGATAAATGAAGCGATTTAGTTGCTCCAGGTAATCACCTGGAATTGTGAGTGTAGGCACAGGTACTTGCCAATCTTGCAGCAGTGCTCGTCCCGCCTAATTTTAAGCTGAAAGTTTTGATGATCAGCGTTCATCCAGACCTTTACCCATTCGACCGGGAACGGCCTCAGTCCTCCATCAGTGAGTTGAGAGAACGTACTGGTGAGGGGGAAACAGATCCGTATCGTAAATTTTTGAGAGGTTTCCAAGAATCTGCGAATAATCTAGACAGGTTACTCACACTACAAGGAAGCCCGTCGATTCCTGCTGCGGCCTACGAGTAGCCTTCACCAACGTTTCCAGTGTTGTGAACAAGTGCGATGAGATTATCCTTTCGTTGCGTCTGGGCGGCCAGACTTAGTATGACTTGCAGAGGCAGTTGCATTCCGCGTCATACACCCAGGAACTAGCACTCAACGGTTGCTCGTGCTTCCGCTGCGATAAACTAAGGAATGTTCGCGGTGGCGTCTTGCTCTACATCCGGTCTTCGCTGCGTGCCAGTCTTGTCAGCATCTACCAAAGTGACGATGGTTTGTGTGAGCTACTGTGGTGCTCCATACACCTCTAGTGCAGAGAACGACTTGTGGGCGCAGTCTATCGGAGCCCCTACGTCGTTGCTTTTTTGGCTGCCTCATCTTCGAACCCACATGAGTCATCCACATTTTGTACTTATGTGCGATCCTAACTGTCCTCGTATATGATGGCTTGACGTGCATTTGATGCATAGACATGGTGAGGTTGAAACAAAGTTCGTGAATTTGATAATTGAAACTGGTGCATCGCAACACATATGCCAGCCAACACGCATAACGACACGTTCAACCCCGTCCTGTCTCGACCTGATATTAACGAGCTACTAACAACAAGTGCTTGACGTTCGGATTATGCAGCCCTTGACTGCAAGCAATAACTCAGTTCTCATAGCTGATATGGAGCCAGCTTACAACTATTGGAAAACGGGCTTTGACGGTCTAGCTCGAGTCACGAGCCAAATAGATTGGTCTCTGTCACAAGCTGCATCTGTGGGAGACTTGGACACTTATAAAAGGCAGATTGACCTCATTGTGTTCCCAATTTGTGCCCCTAAGGTGTAGGAAGATCGGACCGAATAAGCCTCACTGGTTTGACCAGGAGTATGGAAATCTGACTCGGAGGTGGCGCAGCCGATGCG